TGCGATAGCACATATACCAAAATCAAGAAACCGCGTCTTCGATAGACAACCATGCAACCGCAAACAGTGAAAGCTTTACGTCGCTGTCTTCTGTTCAAAGACTGTTGATGCTGGAGTTGATGTTGGTCGTTGTAGGTGTTGTATGGTTTTTTCAGCTAAACACAATTTGATTCTCTTTCACAAAACAACGTAAACTGGACATTTTCATCAGCGCGCAAAAGAAAACCAGCCCATGGGTTTTTTGTTATTCATAACCTTGGAACATGGTGGCAATTGACCAGTCTGTTGGCAAGGTGTATGGTTGCGAAATGCTGACGCCGTCGTTCGTGATGACTGCCATTTCGTACTGGTTCCAGGAGCGAGCATCGCGGTAGTACATGACCTTCAAGCACTCGTTGATGACTGTTTGCGCTTGCTCGAGGGTCATGTTGGGATTTGCGGCATAAGCATCGCGCATCAAAGGCAACGCCATGTATGCGCCATAGCCGGTCGCAATGTGATTTTCTGTGTAAGCAACGCCGACCTTGTCGACCGTTCCTAGGAATCTGGGAGAGGAGAAGAGAAGAGAGGAAAGGAAGCATAGTGAGATTACAATGCAACACACAAAAAAAAGCACAAGAAGATCTGACAATTTCAAAAAAAGGGGGGGTTGTTGTGCCCGCATAAAATTTTCTGAGTCTCAGGGGTTGTCGAAACAGAAACTCAACAGTGGGCTGGGGGTTGATCTGCGCAGCGGAAATGTGGGTGGCACACTGTCGGAAAATTTGACAATGAGGGTTGGCTTTGACCCGCTCCCGAAGAAGCAAGACAAAATTTCCGGGCATGAGGGATGGGGGGTGGTCATCAAGGCATTGTGTGTGCGTGTGTGTGTGCGTGTGTGTGTGCGTGTGTGTGTGCGTGTGTGTGGGTGGGGGAAGGGGGACGAGCGTGATGAAGAAATTCAGACAAGAAAAAAAAAAAAACTTACGGTTGGCCGTTGGACGAGCCAGCAACAACAAAAGTGTTCCAAAGAGGATCAATCTTGGAGCGGCGATTGTACATGACACGGCTCAAGTAGCTAAAGATGGAGGACGATGACAATTGGTGGCCATCGTTGACGCACTCGTCTTCAATTCTGTAGGCCAACACAAAATCGTGAGAAAACGGGACGAAACACTTCAAAAAAAAAAAAAAAAAAGCAGAGACGTGCAATCTGACACCTACACCAAATCATCCAAAGTCTTCTTGACGTATTGATAGTCGGCATAGTCGCCAGACATGGCGAGGAGCGTCTTGCTGCCAACCGTGTTCATGCGCGAAATGTTTCGGAACTTGGCAAGGCTGCCGTACGAGCCGCACGTGTCTGCAGCGACGACGACGCCGCCAGCGTACTTGATGGCGAGCACTGAGGTGCCAGTGACGATCGGGTTTCTGCAAGGTGAAGCGGGAGGAGGGCACAGGCAGTGAGTGAGCATGGTTGGGGGGGGGACGTTGCGTTCTCATGGGATGAGTGTCGTTATTACACATCGCCATCACTAATACTATCATCATCATCATGAGCATCATCATCATGAGCATCATCGTCAAAGCGACCAAAAGAGAAAAAAAAAAACTGTTGTTTCGAGATTTCGCAATGTGCACGATTGGAAAGGCGAGCAGAGGAGGGGTCAGCCGCTTCCCCCCCCCCGAAGTGAAGGGAGAACGTGTGGCCAGAGTCAAGACAAACAAGAACGCAGCGTCGGCATCGGCGGCAATCCAAACAGAAACACCCCTCCATCAAAGAGAGAGAAAAAAAAAAAAAAAAAGATCGCGAAACTTTTCGTTTTCTTTTTTTCTCTTCCTTTTGCTCTTTCCCTTCCATCAATGGTGCCGCTGCTTCACTGCATGTATGTTGGCATTACGATGTGTGTCGGGTGGGTCCGTCTGTGGCCGGTGCTGAGAGCGGGCGCATTGCGTTGGACGCAGCAGCAGAGGCAGAGGACGGCCGGTTGAGATTCATGGCCATTGCTGGCATGAACGTATTGCGCTCAAACGAAAGCCCAGTGCCGGACATTGTGTTGACGGGGAAAGGACGACTGAAGGAAACTTGAAGTGTAAGTGTACCAAAACACACACACATAGAACGATAATGATGGGTGTGTATGTAATGATGGTGGGATGGAAACAATGTACGTGGAAATGGAACTCGAATGAGGAGCAGCAGAGTTGAAATCCGACGAAAAAACGTGGCCAAAAATGCTCAGACTTGCTCAATCCGCTCGCTCTCAGCGAACTAGATCTAGATCTAGAGTCAATAATTACAAGAGCAATGCAACACTCACTTCACCTCAACGCACTGAACTCAACTCAACTCAAGCCACTCGCCTTCGGAATATTATTCAACAAAGAAAAATGGCGCAATGCATTGAAACCAATGGCAAACCAATGAGAATTCGCGCCCTTGGTCCATCTCAGAAACCCAAAAACGGACAAGCTGGTTCGCCTTCAGTCTTGATTTTCCTTCAGCAGGCGTTATTTGCGAGAAAAACAACCAAAACCATGATGAACAAGGCTGTGCCAACGCTCGCCGTGCTGGTCGCCCTGGCAATGGCCATTGGGTCGGTCGGCGTTGCTGACGCGCACTCGACGCACTACCCGCACCTGAAATACCTCGTGGGCAACGCGAGCGCGTGCCAGGACGTCGACCAGGTTCCCATCCTCAGCTACCACGTCCACATTCTCTTGTACGACGCAAAAACGTGTGGGGCGGGGGCGGGGATTGGAGTGACTTGTAGTTGTTTTGTCTTGGGTGGCGATTCGCACCGACCCTTTCCACACTCACATGCTTGCTCCGTGTTTGCGTACTTGCGCATTGTCTGTGTTTGCTTGACACGCCTCTGTCCTACTTGCTGCATGCGTCGCGGGGGGGGGCGGGGAAATTGCAGTTGGCAGAACAACGAAAAGTCAACCGCCGACGCACTTGCTTTGCGCCAGGTCGCCATGGACCACTTCAACCTGACAAACGCGCCACTGTGCACTGGTAACTATGAGCTATTTTGTTCCACCCGTGCAAAGTTGTATTCAGGAGATTTGCGTGAAACTCAACCGCTTGTTGGGTTTTGTGGCAGGGCTGTTTGACCAGGGTCGCCTGTGCGCCTTCGAACCTGACATGGTGCCCGCCGGTCCGTTCGTCGTTGCACAGTGGTCGTTCTACTTTACAACCGAGCAGACAGGTTTGATCATTCCCTGGTTCCTCCAGCACCACGGTATGGGCAAAGCGTGTGACTTTGTGCAGGTTGTTTGTGGACTCGATTGTTTTTTGGTTGTTTGCCGACTCAAATTATGCATCTCCACCATCTTCTCAGAGCCCTTCACTGTGCTCTTCCACCCGAATACTGGCTGCGAAATCGAGGACCACACCACATGGGCGGTGTGGGGTGGCCGGCCGGGCGAGATCGACACCTCGTTCCTGACACACGAGGAACCTGGAAACTAACGCCCCCACCCACAAGGAAATCACTCGACCGCGTTTCAGTGGTTGGATAGAAGTCGTGAATATTGTCGGTTGTGGAGGTTTTTTTGGTCTGAGTTTTGTGCCCGCCAGTGACGGCGGCGGCCGAAATGAGGGAATTGACCAGATTTTGCATGCCCTCGGTTTGTGATTGAACTTTGCCCTGTTGGACAATACAGTACGCCTCTCTTTTGCCATACTTTTGTTGTAAAACTGTTTTCAAGTGTTGTTGCATTCTACCGCGTTGCGCTCGCTCAGGTTGTTGGATGAAACTGTTGTTCGAAATTTTGGGAAATTCGAAACTGGACTAATTTCGTGATGCTGAGGCGTTCCATCCCCTATTTCACCTCAATAGCATAGTTTTGCAGTAGTTGTATTATGCCACTCAAAGAATTGGCCGCAGGAGGCATCTGTGAAAACGCGGCCTGGTACAGTCATGACGCAACTCGCCCAACTGAAATTGTTGTCCAAAGTCGATCATAGTTTTGACAAATGCATGCTCTCTGCCAAATAGCTGTTTTCTCATGTCAAAATAGTAACACTATATCACAACATTGTTTGCTAAAAGTCCGAACACTTGCACAGGATTTGATGACTGAACAGATCACAGCTGCGGTTTCGCTGCCGTTCAAAATCTGTTTATTCCCCCCACCCAAACCCCAATTACTCATCTCTGCCCCGGGTCCAGGCCTTGGAGCCACGATGCGAATAGGCACTTGGATCAAGTTGTGCAACTTGATCTGATTGATTCATGTCTCTTAATCAACAGTTCGGCTATTTCAAGCACAAACACCCTTCACTCCTTTTTTTGTATCCTGTCAACTTTTTCCAATCGAATCCTTTTGTAAGCACGCATGCCTCGACAGAAATCGCGCTCTACAAGCACAATACAATACACCGACGTTTGCGTTCTCCGGCTTTGGGAAACCCGCTGCTGTCGGCGAGGCGTCGCTTTGTGTGTGAACGAGGGTTTTGGATGGAGGGTTTGACATTGACCAAAAAAAAAAACAAAAAAAAAAAATAATCCCGAACGACATTCTGATCTACGCCCGCTGGCTTCGCAACCAGATACTGCGACGGCTTGGATGTACGACAACAAACAAAAAAGCGCGCACACAGCTGCTCAGTGGAAAAAAAGTCCCAAAAGCAGCCATCTCAGGAACACTGACAGGAGCTGTCAAGCTCGTTATGGCAATGAGATCTGACCTCGCGCTTGACTCCCCCCTCCCTGTCAACCGCCCCCGCCTCGAGCCTGGAGCGTCTGCTGTCCTCGACGTACCTTGCAATTGCAGACACTATGTGCTGCACAGCGTGTGAAGGGCTATGTCTCGAGCAACAGCAGTCGCCGCATGGTGATTTCGCATTGGGGGTCACCCTTTTCCGCTTTTTTTTTTTTTTTTTTTTTTTTTTTTTTGGTTTTTCAAAGATCATTCCGTGCACCTTTTCGCTTCCCTTGTTCAAGCCTGGGCTTGGCTGTGCAACCCCGCTCACTTGTGTGACTGGTTTGACAGGGTCTACCTTCTGAGAGCCAAGCACTCTCCCCCTCCGAACCACTCACCAAACAACAAGCCACAAAAACCGCCTTTTTCGCTGCCAGATTCATCATTCTTGGCTTCTTCCGCCATGATGGCTCACACTGGCAGGTCGGCACTGTCTGCCTGGGCGCTGGTGCTGCTGCTGCTGCTGGCAGTTGTCTTTGCCAGCAACCATGCTGCGGCCGACGACGAGGTCCCCGATGCATGCGACGCGTGCTCGTGTCAAGGCTCGCCGCTGGTCGTCAAGAGCTGCTGGACCAATCTGACAAGCATTCCGGCCAACATCCCGCTCACTGCGACCATTCTGTAAGCGGCCCAACGTTTCTGTCAGGGCACTCGGCGTTATTCCAGAGGCTACTTGAAATTTTTTGTTGACATGGTGGTCCTGGGGGTTGATGTGTCAAACCTCATGCGGCTCACGCAGCGCACTTCTGCTTGGCGTTTCGCAGGTACTTTCAAAAGACGTCCATTACAAGCATTGCCCCATATGCGTTTTCTGGCATGTCCTCGCTCACTCGGATGTAAGCATTGGACATGACTTTTTTTTTTTTCTTGTTTTCCAACACCCAATTGGCAATTTGCTGTGCCACTCACCTGCTCGTTTCCCAGCTACCTGTACAACTCCCAGATTACCGAAATTGCATTGAATGCGTTTGCAGGTCTCCCAGCTCTCCAACTTCTGTACGTTTTGCAGCGTTTTTGGTATGACTGACTACCAGTCGCCGATGGAAGCTCATTGCTTTGTTCTTCACGTCTCCAATCGGGACAGGCACCTGTCGAACAATCCGATCACAAGTCTCCCCGACTACGGCTTCTCGTCTCTCTCATCCGTGAGCGAATTGTAAGTGTGATTCGTGGTTGAGCATTCCAGAGTTGTTGCAGAACGCTGTAGATCAAATCGCAATGCGCTGAACCGCTCACACAATATGCCTCGGCTTCTGAGCAGATACCTGGCCAACACCCAACTGACAACACTTTCAGCCCATGCGTTTGACGGCATGTCCTCCTTGACCTATCTGTACGATCGAACTTGAGTTGACGGTTTGGTTGGGGGTCATTTTGCCAATCTCATTTTCGCATCCTGTGCCTGATCCTTCCACTTGAAAACCTCCTCTTTGTTTTTTCAATACTTCCTAGATACCTTGCTGGTAATTTGGTTTCATCGGTTGCTCCCAACACCTTCAGCAGCTTGTATTCGCTCCGATTTTTGTGAGTTGCAACAACATGGCCCAACAGATCTGGCTTTGAAGCAATGCTCGCTAACATGCTTGAATGCAGGCACCTGTTCAATACTAAGCTGACCACGCTGCCAGTCGATGCAATTGGCGGCCTTTCTGCGCTTGAAGAGTTGTAAGCGTCTGCACCGGTTGCGGAAAACGGTGAATTCGTAACCCTAACCCTGACCTCGATTCACCAGGCACTTGTACCGGTCCAACATTGCGTCTATCCCACCCAATGCATTCATGGGCCTCAACCTCATCTCGCTTCGAGTCTTGTAAGTGTTCAGCGCGTTGTAAGTCTGTGTTTGAGCGAGCGCACAACTGACCACACATAACTTTGGCCAGAACCTTGTCCAGAGGACTTATCACGAGCCTTCCATCCAATGCCTTCAACGGCATGAGCTCGTTGACCTCGCTGTAAGTTGAAGGCGCGCGGATGATCATGAAACCCACTGCGGCTTGCAATTCACGCTTTTGCCTTCCCAATCAGATCTTTGAATGGCAATCCTATTACCAGCTTTACGGATACAGCGTTTGCGGGACTCTTTTCATTGACCCTACTGTACGAATCTTTTGTCGCGTCTGTTTCTTGCAGCGCGTTGTTGTTGTTGTTGCCAGCGATCACCCTCTCCACTCACCCACACAAACAGCAATTTGTACTCGACGCAGATTACAAGCATTCCCGCAAATGCGTTTGCCGACTTGTACTCGCTGAATGTTCTGTAAGCACTTGCTGATGAACTCGTTCGGAAAGGATGCATGTATGCTCTCTCGGCGGTTTACAAAAAAACAGGTGCTCATTATGCTCTCATCGCAGAAACCTGTTCTCAAACCAAATCACCAACATTCCGTCCGAAACGTTCACCGCTCTGAGCGCGCTGACCCAATTGTGAGTCAGCGTGCTATTGTCGTGGTTGGTTGGACTTTTGAATTTCTAGCTCACTTGTTGTTGCTGGTTGCCAGGAACATGGTCGGCACTCGGATTACAAGCATTCCCGATAACGCCTTCAACGGACTTTCTTCCCTGACCATGCTGTAAAGAAAGAGAGAGAGAGAGAGACAGAGAGCGCGAGAGAAAGAAACAATTCCATCTTCAAGTTTATGCACAGCATGAGAGGGCATCAAGGCTCACACACCAGTTCTGCAACACAGGTCTTTGAGCAATGGCAACATTACGAGCGTCGGACAAAACGCCTTTGGTGGATTGTTCTCCCTGACAACTCTGTAACCACTTGCGTTTTTGGCATTGTCAATCTATGTACTGTACTTTCGCCTGGAACTGCTAAGCAACAGACACTCACTGGTCAACCAAACATGCACGTCACCTTTTCGATCGCAGTGAGCTGTACGGCAACCCATTTACCACACTGCCCCCCGGCTCGTTTTATGGCCTGAGCAGTTTGACCAGCTTGGGACTACAAGCAAAGAACTTTGGTGGGGTGGCACCTCCCAGCACATACGGTCCTTACCCGAATTTCACAAGTACGGTCTGCTGCATGCAGTTGTAGCGCTGTTTGTTGTTGAGATTCCACCACTATGCTGACGGCAAAATTTTGCCCACAGACTGCGACGCTTCGTGCCAGACTTGCTTCAACGGAACTGCGAGCGATTGCTGCCCCGACAACTGCCTCCGCTGCACTGCCAGTGTTTGCATCCAATGCTACTCGAGTTACGTATTGTTTGCAGGCAATTGTTTGACCGAAGCGGATGCTGCCATCTCCGCTTCGGCTGTGTCCGCCTCTGTCGCATCAGCATCCTCAGCCTCCGCATCTGTCGCATCGCAAGCGAGTGACGCTAGTTCTGCAACTGCCGCCGCAACCAGCTTGGCATCCCAAGCGACCCTTTCTGCAGCGTCTCAGGCTTCTGCTGAAGCAGCATCACTTGCATCCGCTTCCTCCGCATCTTTGGCCTCAGCCGCGACTGCCTCTTCAGCATCGGCTGCCACAGCAGCGTCCGCGAGCTCGGATATGGCAGCGACAGCATCGCTCGCCTCCGCCGCATCGACCGCATCCGCTTCAGCCGCTTCCTTTTCATCAGCTGAGATTGCATCTTCCGCGTCGATGGCCTCGGCATCGATTGCTTCGGCTTCGAGTGCGTCAATTGCATCCGCCTCTTCGGCGAGCGACGCATCTCTCGCCTCTGCTGCCTCAACCGCATCCGCTTCAGCTGCGTCCTTTGCTTCCGCAGAATTTGCTTCGACTGCGTCCATGGCCTCCGCTTCGATTGCATCCGCATCATCGGCAAGTGACGCATCACTGGCTTCCGCAGCTGCAGCAGCTTCTGCCAGTTCTGATATGGCAGCGACAGCGTCGCTCGCCTCTGCTGCCTCTACCGCATCCGCTTCAGCTGCGTCCTTTGCATCCGCCGAATTTGCTTCGACTGCATCCATGGCCTCCGCTTCGATTGCATCCGCATCATCGGCAAGTGACGCATCACTGGCTTCCGCAGCTGCAGCAGCTTCTGCCAGTTCTGATATGGCAGCGACAGCGTCGCTCGCCTCTGCTGCCTCTACCGCATCCGCTTCAGCTGCGTCCTTTGCATCCGCCGAATTTGCTTCGACTGCATCCATGGCCTCGGCATCGATTGCTTCGGCTTCGAGTGCGTCAATCGCATCGGCATCTTCAGCCAGTGATGCATCTGTCGCCTCTGCCAGCTCTGATTTGGCAGCGACAGCGTCGCTCGCTTCTGCATCGACCGCATCCGCTTCAGCTGCGGCACTTGCATCCGCTGAAGTCGCTTCGACTGCCTCAATGGCTTCCGCATCGATTGCTTCGGCTTTGAGCGCATCCGTTGCATCCGCATCATCGGCGAGTGACGCATCGCTGGCTTCCGCAGCTTCTGCCAGTTCTGACATGGCAGCGACAGCGTCGCTCGCTTCTGCCGCATCGACCGCATCCGCTTCAGCTGCGGCACTTGCATCCGCTGAAGTCGCTTCGACTGCCTCAATGGCTTCCGCATCGATTGCTTCGGCTTTGAGCGCATCCGTTGCATCCGCATCATCGGCGAGTGACGCATCGCTGGCTTCCGCAGCTTCTGCCAGTTCTGACATGGTAGCGACAGCGTCGCTCGCCTCCGCTGCCTCGACCGCATCCGCTTCTGCTGCATCCTTTGCATCCGCTGAAATTGCATCTGCCGCGTCGATGGCCTCCGCGTCCATTGCTTCTGTTTCCTCCGCAAGTGACGCATCGCTGGCTTCAGCAGCTTCCGCAACGTCTGCATCTGCAGCCTCCGCTGCCTTTATCGCATCACTCGCATCCGCAGCTTCTGAAAGCGCCGTTTCTGCTTCGTCTGCTTCGGCTCTCTCCGCATCGTCTGTCTCTGCCGTTTCTGTGTCCCAAGAATCTGCCGCGTCCATTTTCGCGGCTTCGGTTTCTTCCGTTTCTGCTGAATCTGTTTCGTCAGTTTCTGCAGCATCGGTCGCTTCAGTTTCTGCGGCATCCGTTTCTTCGGTTTCTGCTGCATCTGTCTCATCCGTATCGGCAGCATCCGTCTCATCTGTGTCTGCTGAATCCGTCTCGTCTGTTTCTGCGGCTTCTATCTCCTCGGTTTCAGCCGAATCCGTCTCGTCAGTTTCAGCTGCTTCTGTATCCTCAGTTTCTGCGGCATCCGTCTCGTCCATTTCTGCGGCATCCGTCGCGTCAGTTTCAGCTGCATCTGTTGCGTCTGCTTCTGCCGCTTCCGTCTCCTCGGTCTCGGTAGCATCCATCTCCTCGGTATCGGCAGCTTTCATCTCCTCGGTGTCAGCAGCATCAGTCTCGTCAGTTTCCGCAGCATCCGTCTCGTCCGTTTCTGCCGCTTCAGTCTCCTCGGTCTCAGCTGCTTCCGTCTCTTTAGTTTCAGCAGCATCGGTTGCTTCTGCTTCTGCCGCTTCCGTCTCCTCAGTTTCTGCTTCCTCAGTTTCTGTTGCTTCTGCTTCCTCAGTTTCCGCAGTTTCTGTTTCCTCAGTTTCTGCTGCTTCTGCTTCCTCAGTTTCCGCAGTTTCTGCTTCCTCAGTTTCTGCTGCTTCTGCTTCCTCAGTTTCCGCAGTTTCGGCTTCCTCAGTTTCTGCTGCTTCGGCTTCCTCAGTTTCTGCTGTTTCGCTTTCCTCAGTTTCCGCTGCTTCTGCAGCATCTGCCTCTTCCGTCGCTGCTGCCGTGCTCGCATCCGTTTCATCCGTTTCGGCAGGCTCCGTATCATCAGCTTCCGCTGCCTCAGTGTCCTCAGTGTCGGTTGCGTCCGCGTCATCTGTCTCTGCATTGTCAGCCTCGTCGGTTTCTGCGGCTTCTGCTTCATCCGTCTCGGCCGCGTCTGTTTCTTCAAAGGATGCAGTTTCCTCTTCGTCTGCCCTGGCCGCTATGGCGGCTTCGATTTCTTCAGTCCCACTCGTTTCAGCTGCCTCAGCGTCGTCAGTTTCAGCAGCCTCTGTGTCTTCCGTCTCAGCGGCGTCTGCGTCTTCGGCGTCTGCACAATCGGCTGCTTCAGTGGCCTCTGTTGCAATGGCTTCGATCAACTCCGTGTCGTCCGTTTCAGCCGCTTCTGCTGCATCGGTTTCTGCCGCTTCGGTGTCGTCGGTCTCTGGCGCATCGGTGTCTTCTGTTTCTGCAGCATCAAAGTCTTCTGTTTCGGCAGCGTCCGTCTCTTCAGCGCTTGCACTGTCTTCGTCTTCTGCCATTGCTGCCATGGCCGCTTCCGTTGCCTCCGCGTCTTCGGTTTCGGCTGCATCCGCTTCTTCCGTCTCGGCTGCGTCCTTCTCCTCTGCCTCGGCCGCATCCGCTTCGTCTGTGTCTGCGCAGTCAGCAGCATCAGCCGCGTCCGTCTCGATGGCCTCAATCAATTCCGTGTCTTCCGTTTCTGTCGCTTCCGCATTCTCCGTCTCTGCTGTTTCGGCGTCCTCTGCTTCCGTGGCGTCAGCTTCGGCTGCTTCAATTTCCTCCGTTTCTGCAGCCTCGGTTGCGTCAGTTTCCTCCGTTTCTGCTGCTTCAGCTGCCTCGGTTTCTTCGGTTTCCGCTGCCTCGGCTGCCTCCGTTTCCTCCGTTTCTGCTGCTTCAGCTGCCTCGGTTTCCTCCGTTTCTGCTGCTTCAGCTGCCTCGGTTTCTTCGGTTTCCGCTGCCTCGGCTGCATCCGTTTCCTCCGTTTCTGCTGCTTCAGCTGCCTCGGTTTCTTCGGTTTCCGCTGCCTCGGCTGCATCCGTTTCCTCCGTTTCTGCTTTGTCAGCTTCCGCCATTTCAGTCTCGTCAATCTCCGCCGTGTCAGCGTCGTCCGTGCAGCACCTCCCGACAACAATCATCATTCCTGGCTGTCCCGCGGTGACCGCCAACAACTACACCTGGCCTGCAACCAAGATGGGCGTGCTTTCTATTCTGCCGTGCTCGTTCGGGTTTGTTGGAAACGCAACGCGCATGTGTTTTGAAGGCCAAGTTCCGGCATGGGGCCAAGCCGACACGTCACACTGCAGGTCTGTGGAGAGCGTGCTTGCCGAGCTGATTTCGACACCTGTGACTGCAGAGAACCTGCAATCCGTTGCGGATGGAGCGGCAACACTCGCAACGCAAGCAGGCGCGCTGGATGGTGGACAACTTGGTTCGCTGGCCGGACTACTGAGCGACATGAGCGCCGTTGGTGCTGCGGCTGGCTGGCCAGGATCCTCCAGTTACTCCATGATGAATGTCTTTGACAGTATTCTGGGGTCGACGAGTGACAGTTTGACCGAGTACCAGGCCTCAAACAAGGGCGAAGGCAACTATGCCAACATTGTCACGAGCTTTGGCTACTCGCTGCTTGGCGCCAACGCGACGGTTGGAAGCACTGTGACACGGCAAGGTGCAAACGCCATCGTTTCTGCTACTGCTGTCGATGTCCACGCGGATGCCAGCTTTACAGCCTCTGGCACCGATTTCCACCTCCCGCAGTCGCTCTTTGACCAGCTGAACGGCACCGCGACACAGGCGCTGTATTCGGTGAGCTTTGTCTTGTACCAAACGTCCGACATCTTCCCTGCCGTCAACCAGGGCGACTCGCAAGTGTTTAACGTCATTTCTGCGTCTGTTCAAAACCGCGAGGTGTACAACCTGATCGAGCCTGTGACGTTCTTTATGAACTATCCAGCAATGCCATACAAGCCTGTCTGCTCCTACTTTGACTTTAGCCGGCAGCAGTGGGCGTCGGACGGGTGCGTGACGACTCAGTTGACCAACTCGTCCGCCAAGTGCGAGTGCTACCACCTGACCAACTTTGCGCTGTTCTTTAGCCTGGCCGATGACCAGATCGACTCTGTTAGTGCCGAAATTCTCTCCAACATTACCTACGTTGGCTGCGCTCTGTCCATCTTTGGCACCGTGGTGACGTTTGTAACGTTCGTGCTGCTCCGCACGCTGCGCTCGTTCGCCATGAAGCTTGTCATGCACCTCTGCGTGGCCATCTTTGGCATCAACGTGGTCTTTCTGGCTGGCGCCCTCCAAACCGACAATGCGGACGGGTGTCGGGCGGCTGGCGTCTTTCTGCACTTTTTCCTGCTGTGCTCGTTCTGCTGGATGCTGTCGATTGGTGTCAATCTCTTCCTGGGCATTGTTCGCCTGAACACGGACTCGCACATCTTTTACAGGCACATGGTGGTTGCCTCATACTGCGTGCCAGCGCTGATTGTGATTATCACCATGGCCGTGGACATTGACAATTATGGCGGCACAGAGTCATGCTGGATTCAAGACCAAGGGGCGTTGATCGGTGCCTTCTATGTTCCAGTGCTCCTGGTGATTGCGGCAAACATTGCCATGTTTGTCATGATTCTGTTTGCGTTCCGACGAGCTGCCAAGGACCGAAAGTTGCTCGGCGCCGAGGAGCGCAACAACGCTCGCGTCCTCCTGACCATCTTCCTGATGCTCGGCATCACCTGGGTGTTTGGTGTGCTGGCCATCGACTCTGCCACCACTGCGCTCCAGTACCTGTTTGTGATTTTCAACAGTTTCCAGGGCTTCCTCATCTTTGTCTTTTACTGTTGCAACAAGCGCGTTGTGCAGACCTTCCAAAAGCAGTACGGCGCTCGCTTCCCGTTCTCGTACATTACCTCGCTGTCTGCACGTACCTCGCGGACAACCGTGGGCACCTCGTCCAGCGCACGAAACACGCAAACGAGCACCGATTCGAGGGCCGGCACCTTGAGTCGCACGAACAGCACCCATGCGTCGTCCGTGTACCACTCGTCCGTCTCCCGACAAACGAGTCTCGTAGACAACGCTTCTTCTGCGGATCACGATGTCGAGGCCGGTGGAGTCGGCACAGGTTTGCCGCCGTCGCAGCAGCCGCGCAACACGTCGACCTTGCCAACGACGGTCGCTCCCGCAGGCTCTGGCACCAGCCAGCTCCATGGCAAGGCTGTACGAATGCTCACGGCTCGTGATCTACAAGAGCTCGATGCGTCCACGGATTCGCGGGTTTGAGATGTTTTGAGTTTTGATGGGTTGTTTGATTTAATGTTAGAATTGGATTTTTGTTTGAATTGGTTGCCAGCCTGTTTGCTCTGAAGTCGTCCTGTGTGTTTGCTTGTTTCATGTGTTTGCTTGCGAATTGCTGAATGCTCATTAAAATGCAGTCAATCTCCCAGATCCAGAGGTTAGTGGTTTTTGTTTTGACGACGTTTCAACATTGGTTTGTTGTCTGTTACAACACGCAACCGTTTGTGCTCGTATCTTGTGGAATTGTGAACGGATAAGAGCAAAATGGAAATGCAATTTGCGCAACTGTCAAAAGTAACCACTGCATCAAATTGTTCGACGTCCAGGAAAAAAACAAAAAACGAGCCAAAAGTTTGTTTGTTCTAAAGCATTGCACCAATGTCGCGGACGGCCGTCCCATCATCAAAGTTTTTCAAACCTTTGACGAGCTGCGAAAAGCTTGGACGGAATTCCGGTGTCACATTCCAGCAACTCATCATCATGTGGTACAGCTCGGGCATGCAGGTTTCCGGCATGGGCAGTCGACCGCCAGCCTCCACATGAGCCAATGTCTCCGTGGCTTTCAGCATGCCGTATGGCGTTGCACCATAGCTGGAGCATTCCCCTACCATCGTGCACCAATAAACAGTGAGATCCAGGTGCAAAATCGTCGGCAGAACACGACTCTACTCACAGGCGGTCACACCAAACGACCAGACATCGGACATGGTAGAGAACTTGCGGAAGGTCATTGTTTCTGGTGCCATCCACTACGACGAGTGTAACATCAACAGAATCAGCATGCAACAGCACGCGAGCAGCAAATTTTCCACACCATCAACCCACCTTCACAGGAAGTTTGCTACGCGTTTGCATGCGATAATAATCGTTCTCGTCGGCCAGCTCGCGAGAAAGCCCGAAATCGGCAATCTTGACCACCATTCCTTGTCCCACGAGGCAGTTGCGCGCAGCGAGATCGCGGTGCACAAAGTGGAGCGTGCCCAGATACTCCATACCGAAAGCAATCTGACGGATGGCATGCACCTGCTCGTTCTGAGTCCACCAAAGCGAGTGGAGCTTGGACTTTTGCAGCAGCGTGCGCAAATCGCCATACTGCACAAACTCCAACAGCACGAGATGAGGCTCTGACGCTACAAGAGCCGCAAGCAGACGCACGACGTTCGGATGCACAAACGGCGCCATCAGTTTCGCCTCGCTCTCAAAGTCTTGACGAGATTTCTTGTCAGCATCAGACTTGAGACTCTTGACTGCAACCTGCACGGTTTCGGACGATACAGGTCCAAGCAACGTTTGTGCTCGCGGGGGCAGAACGTTAAACGGCACTTGACCCAGTGACACGTCGCCAAAATTTCCGCTGGCAAGGTGCTTCACAATGGTCAAGCCTTCACGAACGCGACGAGAATTGCTACCGGCAAGGTACACGCTTTCATTGTCGTAGACAACCTGAGGAGAGGTCGGTGAGATGCCGTGGTACACCGGTTCTGGCGGCTGTTGACCTGCCTTGGCGTACGCTGATGCATCAGCCGAGTGGTTCAGAGGTGAGCTTGTCATTCCACTAGGCTCCTGATAGATGGTACCAGCAGAGTCCTTCGGTTCTGGGTGCTTTTGGCTGACGTTGTCGTAGCTGGAGCTGTCTACCTTGGAGTGAGCTCGAGTCGAACGGGGAATTGCCTCCTGGTAGATGGGACCAGCAGAATCCTTCGGTTCTGGCTGCTTTTGGCTGAGATTGTCGTAACCAGAGCTGTCCTTGGGATGGACCGGAGGTGGGGTTGCCATTTCTACAGTCTCCTGGTAGATCGGGCCGGCAGCGTCCTTTACAGAGCCCTTTGGTCGCGTAGCCGAATGTCGCTGCGATCGACGACGTCGCAGCACGATGAATACCAGGACAAGTATCGCAAGAACTGCAACAAGCGCGACAACAACACCGATGACAACAACTGAGGATGAGTCTTGCAAGCCGGCGGCGTGTTGTGCAATGGCGATG